TGTTCGCAAATGAGAGGGCACGACACCCACCCACACCCACACCTACACCCACACCCACACCCACACCCACACCCATACCCACACATTCACACCCACACCCACATCACCCACACTCACACCCACACTACCCACACCCACACCCACATCCACACCCACACCCACAGCCACCCACACCCTCAAGACCGAACCTAAAATATTTATTTTTGAATTAAATTTGTTACAGTCTGCAATTTTCATCATTCGTAGCATAATGGGAGATGCAAAAGTTTTTGAACAACAGTCGATTCATTTTTTTTGTCGGCTAAAACATGTGTAGATAAAATCGATAATACTTCTGCAGAATTTATTTTGAAAGTTTTTCTTTTGTGATTATATGTTTAAAAAATTTCTCTCATGTTTTGTTTTCACATCACTAAAATATGATCGGCAGACGAAACTCAGAACAATGGTTATTAAGAGAACACATCTCTTGGTATTTTCTTATTTTGTCTAATACGATAGACTGTGTGTTGCTGGTCTCTTTTCTCAATCACTTTAAAGTCAATGAAAATAATGAATGTCAATGATCTGAGGTACTCTCTATAAATATGTTTCGGCTAAGATCTGGAAATGACAAAATTGAACAATGAGCAAAATGAAGACAGTAATACGATAGAGAAAAGATAAACACCATCGTATGAAATGACCGCCTTAAACGACTACGAGATAGTATAAGATCGGTACCTTCTGCAATATTTATTTTCTTTTACAGACCACATTTTAGTGCTGTGCAAAGAGGCACTACTCACTCAAAAACAAAACATGATAGCCATTTTCTGATCATGCAATTACCGAATATTTTCGAGTTTGTCTATGCATGTTTTAGTCGATAAAAAGAATGGACAGAAATTCATACTGAAACTTTTACATCACTTATTACTCGCCAATTAGATTAGATACCAACTTTAGTTGTAAGATTTTATTGGTTTTTCAAAAAAAAAGATAGGAAAAAGGTGACACGCTTAGTTCTAACTACAAGAAAAGTAATATAATGAAAAATTATAACTTTTCAGAGGATAATTAGAATAATATACTCTAATGTCTTTATCAAATTAATAATAGCTCATGGATTAGCAAGACTAGTAACGTCTGATTGTGATAGTTCTCGATTGTAAATATAAAGTTCATCAAGGTATCCTTGATAATATCCATTTACAGAACTTGAAGAACAAGTATTCGGATAACCTATGCAAAGATTTGCGAAAGAATTGATCGACGAGTATGACACAGTGCCAGTTGAACCAAAAAGAACTCCATTAATATACAATGTGTATCCATTACCTGTACTATATGTCAATGAAACGTGTGTCCACGTATTTTGTGTCACAAATGGACCAGTTAAATATGCAGTGGAACCAGTATTGTGTACAAAAATTTGTCCTGTGAATAAATTCGATGACGAAATACCAAGTAAAATATCACAATTAGATGTACTACCCAGTGACCAAAACATTTGAATAATTGCGATATTACTGATTGACGATGGATTTATCCACATAGCTATTGAAAATGGTTTGGCATTAACAACACCATAAGGAAGCTGATAAAAACCATACGCTCGAAAATAAGATGAGGATGACCCAAGAAAACGCATAGCTTCATTGACACGTCCAGTAGCTGAGACTATATTATTGGATGTTCCATCTAATCCATTTGTACCACTGTCAGTATTCGGATTTGGTAAATCAAATGAATAGTAAGCCATTAAGGATGCATCACGTAGAATTTCTACTGAAGATTTTGCTCTTGTTGTTAATGCTACATTATCAATATAACCATAAAAAAAGTTCATCGTCGAATAAGCTTGAGTTGAACCTATTTGAATACTTCCATTTTGTCCTTGATAAGGTTGTGCATTTGACTTGATAGCGTCTTGAACTCCGTTGAGATATAATATTTGTTGTCGTGTGTCATAACTATAAACAAATGCAATATGATACCAATAACCAGTTGAAATGGCCGTAGATCCAGTCAAATAATTCGATGTAAAATCAATGTACAAGCGATTATTTCGAATAATAAAAAACAAACATTGATTAGAACAAGTTGAACATTGACATTGACCAAATATCCCGCGATCATTTGTAAGCGAAGCAAGATAAATCCAAGATTCAATAGTAAAACTTGTATAACTTAAATTAAAATAAGAAGTTGAAACCAGAACTGATTGATTCGATGCTGAATTAAAGTAAAGTGCTTGACCATGTCCTACATATGGCAGATTAGTCGAAGAAGCATATGTTGGGCTATTTATTGGTTGACCGTTATAAATACCATAGGAATCGACCAGTGTATTATCGAAACTCCAATATGCAGAAACATTCACAGTAGATGCAGTAGTTGTTGTTGTACTTGCGTCTATGAAAAAACACCAAAAAAGATCAATGAGTTGTTGAATACACTTGCCATTATAAAAAAAAGTTTACTCTGCCGTTTTTAAAACTTATATAGTACTTGTCGAATCGTAAAAATGATGCAAATATTCTTATTTCATGAATAATTATAGACAATTAAGACAGAGTTTAACGTTGAGAAGGAGTTCAATATTATTTCAAATGTCTTTACCTTTGGGTTTCGTGAGTAAAACAGTAAGAACAGTGGCAACTGTAATAAGAGTAGCGATTGCCAAAAATGTTGAAATACCCACTAAAACTTTCTTCCATGTTGACCATCTATAAAATAAATAAATACGTTTAGCTTATAGAAGAAAACAATGTTACTTTGATGTAGTAGGTATTTGATAAAGACTGCTTGTAATTACTGATTGTTCTTGAGTCGGTTTTATATTTTTTTGAAGATGAGGAGATAATGGAGGCGACGATGAGCTAGAAATCTAAGAAAGATAAATGATTAGGTATTAATTGTATTTTCAAAAAATGACTGTAAATGTAATATGTATTTAACTTACTTTTGAATGATGTTGATTTTCATTACTTGTTTCTGCAATATAATTTAGACGAACATCTTTATGTGTTTCAAGTGTTGAAATATGTTTCTTTTGATTAAATTCAAGTTGTGAAATAGCACTTTTACTAATTCGTCTCCCAAGAGCCTAAAACAACATTAATATGGAATAAAGCTTTTAGAAAAAAAATCGATGTCCAGTGCAATAATATAAAGAAGTCTGTAAACAGGCAAAAAAATGTCTAAACTTTAATCCTTTACTGTCATAGGTCGATCACAAATAGAGTAATATTGAACTGTGATCACGATTGAATCAGTCTTTAAAGAGATTAGCCCTTATTGGTATCTATCTATAACAAAAATTTCAGAATATTTATTTTTGTTTTCCAAAAAGATTTGGCTCATTAAAGATGAAAAAATGGAATTCTGTAATGTTTTGCCGTGCGGTAAACCTAACTTTGATCAAGTTTTTTTGATATTTTTACAAATATGGTACTGTTCTTTCAATCGATACATATTAAATCGAATTTCTCTTACATAACAACCAATGTGCTATTCTTCAAATGTATCTATTTAAAATCTATGCATCTTGAAATACAGTTGCAAGACAAATAAAACTAAAAATAGAAATAGAGTCGAAAGTTATGAAACATCTATGAAGTATTCTGTGAATACTAATGCAATCAGAATTTGATTCCTTGTGTATAGAAAGGCACTTGTGTAATAAAGGACTTTGACGAATGATTTTTTTCCTATAAATGCCTTTCATTGTTACATTCAGTATGCTATATATTTTCGCAAACTAACAAACCTGTTTTCTAGTTGACTGATGAATTGAACTTGGTTCAATATCAGAAGTTAATTCATAATCATTTGGATGTGCAGATGCAGATATTCGTTGAACCAAACCAATTTTAACTGAATGTATGGCTTTTTTCATTGATTCACTTTGGATGAAAAGATTACAATATGATTTAAAACTAACTTTTTGATGTTTCTTATATAGGACTATTGTTTTTTTTTTTTCTTTTAATTTCTTTTTTTCATTCTCTTCTTAATTTAATTCAAAAAATAAACAATAGAAAATGAAATTATTCAGGGAAACGCAATACATATAACGATTTTTGTTAATATTATTCTTAAGTATATGATTAGTTTTGAACAAAGATCACTGTACATTGTTTTTTATTATGTCTGACAGTGTGTGTATGCAACATTTTTGTTATTCGAGAAAAAACATATCTATGTCAGCCTGATGACAATATTGTTATTTGGTTTGACAATCTTTTAGTTCATTTTAGCGAGCTTCATTTCACCTTCAAACAACAAGCACAAAAACTATTGCGTACATTTTTTTTTGATTGCTTTTTCATCATGTTATTACGCATTTGGAAGAAAATTCAAATACTCAATTGAATTAGATGATATGTGTTGTATTGCGTATAATACTTGGATTTCTATTGTTTAATAATAATACTTTGAAGGGTTGTTTTTTTTTATCATTATTCAGTTATCATTATTAGCTTTATTAGATAAATATAATCAATTTGGTACCGTATTCGAATATGTCTAATTTTGTATTTTGATTGTACATCAGAAAAACAACAACTAAATCAAAGAACAACTGAAAGATTTTTTTTCTTAATAAAAGACGAAATTAAATCTGTTTATAATAAGGTACAGTAAAAAGAATCTTTGCAACTAATCTAAAAAATATGTTTTTCAATATTTTCTTTTCATCAAAAATCTAACGAATTATTCTTTTGAGTTGTAGATATTTGAAAAATAATCAAGATCATTGAATTATTTTTGAATAGGTGATGTTTTGTAATAGTAAAGTTCAGTTTAATATGATAATATGTTCATTGATATCATTGTTTATTAACATCGATTGAAAAAAAATACAATAAAATAGATTTCTACGCATTTCAATTAGATAACCAAGAAAATATTTGCTTCTCCGTTGTATTGAAATTTATTGTTCTTTATTATCATATTAATAATTAAAAACAGAAAAAATATATTTGAATAAAAAATAAAAAAGTTGGCAATAGATTTTATAAATGGAAGGGTGTGGGTGTGGGTGTGGATGTGGGTGTGGGTCGGGGTGTCACTTTTCCTAAATACCCACAGGCATACCCACACCCACACCCGCACAACATAAACTAATTTATAAACATACACCTCGATGAAAAAATATTGACTAAGGTAGATATGAATGCCATCAGCGGAAAATTAAATTTTCAAGTGTATTATTCTTCACAGGCAATGACACGTAATTTTGAAAGAAAAAAAATTGAATGAAACAATATAACAATAAACAAATAAATCATAATAATGAAGTTGAATTTTATTGCAGAAATCAAAATTTTCTCCTTATTTTTATTCATTACGAGCATCATTACCTTTTAAAGACATTATTTGTGATCTTAGTCTGACTGTTTATTGGAAAACAAACATTAACAGCAAGAAGATCAAACCACAACACTAACAAGAAAATGATGTTAATTAAAGAAATCAATTGGAATCTATAACATAAATGTGTCCATAAACATAGATATATAGCATAGGACATTAACAAGTCGAAAATTCCTATTTATAAACTTAAAGTCAACTACACTTACATTAATATGATTTATTTATAATTCTATTGTTCTTATTGAAATTTTTCTTTCTTCCAAAATGATTCGTTATTATTATTGCAGAATAACCAGCAATGTTCATCTAGAAAATTCACCATTTTTCATATTTCTTTAAATTTCTAACTTCAAAACTGTCTAGATTGAACGACATGTTACTAATAGGA